ACGTTTTAAAGAGATATCTTGTAAATATTAGAATGGACGACATCTGCATGCACTTTGCCGGGAATTGCTGGATAGGGTTTGCAAAAATTTAAACCAATTTGAGCAACGGCAGCGCTATTCCGCCATGATTAACTATGCATTTCCAGCACAGGTTTATGCCGTGGAAAACCTTCGTAGGTCCTTCGTATGATATACACGATGGGCAATTGAATTTTTTATAGCGAAGTAAGCAGTATGATGGGTGTACGCTAACTTTGGAGCGGCGAATGAGGTCATTTGGCACGAGTGTGTCATGTAAGAAAGTTATGCACATCTTACACGGCCGACACAGTGATTATATATGCAACACGTACTGTACATGTATGTGTATGTATGTATGTAAAAATTTATTTAAAGACGCTAGCCTTGTCAACAAAGAGAGTTGATTTCCACAAGGGGCGTCGACATTTGAAAATTTACAAAAACTATTTACAAAAAGGACAAATATAAGTACAAATACATGCAATATATATAGTAATTAATTAGAATGGTTTAAAAAGAAGTTGGTGGTTTGGTGTGATTTGGCCATATAAATATGTCTGTAATAATCCATTTAAATTAATATTAGGTTAGTTACTTTGCCTTACAATATTTTTAAAAGAACATATTGATAGGGCTTCCTTAGCTTCACCAGGAAGATCATTCCATAGTTTAGCACCACTATATCGAAAACTCTTTTTCAGAAAGTCGCGTTTTGGCTTAGGTCTTAGGTCTTAGGTTTTTGGCTTAGCGTCTTATCATCAGGATTTAATATGATTGACTGCACATTAAGTTTTATACAGAACTACCGCATAGAATGAGAACGAAGATATCTAGGTATTTACATTTTTCATCTGCACTTCATTTGTAATTGGTTAGCTCGATAAACTATAATAATATTGTTGGTGGCGGTAGTGGCGGTGGAAGTTGAATCTTGTCTTTGCTATGTATTGCATTGCATTGCATTGTATTGCATTGTATTGCATTGCACTGCATTGCATAATATTCAATTTTGTTCTGTGCGATGTAGTTTTGTTTTGCGATATGTTGTTTTGTGTCGTATTCTTAAAATTTAGCAATTTTTAAAGGGCCCACAGTAATTGGTGTATACTGTTGTGGTGTCCCTGCCACTTGTTTGTTGTAAGTGGCGAAGTTTAATAAATAAATAAATAAATTTTTTACCGTTTGAAGAGAAAGGTTAGCTTAGTAATGCAATATGCTGAGCAGACATAAAAAACCATGCAGCGGCAGCAGGGCGGTTGGTGGCAGTGCAGTCATTCGTCCACTCCAGGAACTTGGCATTTTGGATTAATTCATGAAAACTTGAATTTTATTGAAAACTGTAATTTGCAGTCCTGTTTTCGTTCAAGGTCGGCAAACGACCTGATCAGTCTTCGTCAATTCAGAGATCAGTGTATAGATTTTTTCACTAACACCAATCCCCACATAAGGAAGTTGTGGTTTCAATAAAAATTGATCTACATGTATGCATTACATTTACATCAGTTTCCCAAGGTTTGTCGACTTGGCCTTAACATATACAGTGCTGCATAACCATTGTGTTGGCCGTGTATAGGATGTGCATAAGCCATAACTTTCTTACATGCTTACTTCTTTCATACTGCTTACTTCGCTATAAAAATTGCCCATCGTGTATATCATACGAAGGACCTACGAAGGTTTTCCACGGCATAAACCTGTGCTGGAAATGCAGAGTTAATCATGGCGGAATAGCGCTGCCGCTGCTCAAATTGGTTTAAATTTTTGCAAACCCTATCCAGCAATTCCCAGCAAAGTGCATGCAGATGTCGTCCATTCTAATATTTACAAGATATCTCTTTAAAACGTGAAATCGTATTGCCAATCCCTCTACACAATCTGGGTCACCAAGGCTAGCTGTCTAATCGCGATATTATATCCTCAATAATGTTCAGTGCACCGCTGATTCCGCTCGTTCGTAGCCATCATATAGGAATATGCCAGGGGGAAGTTTAACGAAGTGTTAATTAATATTGGCGGATATTTAACGCGGTGCTATATAACCGCCAATATTCACTTCTCAAATTCATGTAGCGATGCGTTTTCAACATGTTTTGAAACTTCAACATTGAAAATTACTTCAATATCTATACTTCAATGTTGTATTTCACTTAAATTTGACATGTTCAATATTCAAATTAACATCAATGAGGGAAACATATTGAAATTGAAGCAATGCTGAATTAAAGTGGCATGCTGAATTTGATATGTTCAATGTCGAAATTCACTTCAATACGGAAACATGTTGAATTAATATCAACATGAATATTGGCGGAAATCTGACGCCATATATGATTGGGCAAACTTCCCAGATCTCACAAAATATGGCTGTTTTAGCCAGGAGTGGGATAAACACATTTCAATTTTCAATCGATGAAAATCGTTTCACACACGGAGCTTTCAAGCAATTTTCTTTTCGAGAAGTATATAAGAAGAATTGAGATAATAATTGCAATCGAGAATTATAAGACTAGTCATGCTTTGAATCTAAATGTTTGCGAATTTTGTTTCTTTCACCTTTCGCGTAAAATATGCGCTGCTTTCAATGTAGCTGTAAAATTACTCCGTTTAGTTTCAGAAAAAACGTAAGTAATTACTCAAATCAAAGAACAATTTGAGCTTGTCTTGTTTTATTAAGATAATTCAAAACAATTTGTCGCCAAAAGCACTTTACTATTATACGTCTTTATTAAAAATTGAAGTTGCAACAAACGTGCATCTTTACAGTGCATATAAGATATACATAAATATATATATAGTAATTATTAAAACGTTCAGTGCATATGAGAAATGTCAATTAGATTATTTACAAATTTAGTATTATTTCTAAATTAAATTATTTACATGCATTATAGTTAATATTATATATCGTATATAACAAAATTTTAAAACTAAAAGTCGTTAAAAAGACATTTGTTCAAAACTGATTGTTTAAAACGTTCTGTGTAAACTTTTGGTAACATAAGTTGATGATCGCGTTCTCTTAAAGGTCGTCGACGTTCTTCCGGTAACAGCTCATATGGGCAATGTTCAGGATTGTGCATGACCTTATTGAAAAATAATCGATCCCTCTCCTCAATCATCTTGGCCATTGAATATTTATTCTGAGTGTATCCATATCGGAAAGCACGATTGAGAAACTTGCTGAATTTATCAATGTATTTCGCTTGCAAAGCCGATCCCCATACTTCAATTGCATAGTAAAATAACGACAGGATCAATGAATCGAACAATTTAGTAAGTTCACTTAGCGGAAAGTTCAAAGCCGAGTCACCAGACGATGTGACAGGAACACTCACTGTTAAATCATCTGCAAACTTGACCAAATTGTTCGTTTGTGGATGTTTGGCTTCAATGTCGTTGACCATTAACGAAAATAAGAAGGGCCAAGAACTGTACATTGAGGTACTCCTTTGTTGATACTAACAAAATTGGTAACAGTTCCATCTACAGTAACTCTCTGTTTCCTACACGATATAAAATTAATGAGCCAATTGATAATATATGGATTAAGATTTGTTCATTTCAATTTCTGTGTTAAAATATCGTGGGGGACGCTATCAAACGCTTTACTGAAATCGAAGGATATTACCCGAATGAAGTTAGCCTTATCGTCTAACCATTTTAGCCACTGATGCTGGCACTTTATCAGAGCTGCAGTAGTGTTCGAGTTTTCCCTATAAGCATACTGGTTCTTATCAATAATCAATTTTGAGGGATGACGAATCTCTTCTTGAAATATGATCCTTTCGAAGAGTCGCATAATAATATTAGTCAACGATATTGGACTCAATTGATCGCCTTAGATTCGCTAGCTTCCACATACTAGGTACACGCTGCTGTCTCAAAGAAGAATTTAATACATTTGTAAGAACTGGTGCAAGATAGCAGGCAAAATCCCTCCAAACCCAATACGGAATAGCATCCGGACCAGGTGATGTTTGTTTTTGTCTCATCATAAAGTTTTCAACAGTTTCGATGTCAACAGTTGGAACTCGAGTTCCTTCAGGGATTGTCAATGGATCAGGTCTCACGTACTCATTATCAGTGTTTATACCTTTGAAGTAAGCATTCATAATTTCTGGATCGATAATATTACTAATATTTTCCGACCTAGATCCTCTACCAGTAATTTGATTAACGGTTGACCGCCATTTTCGAGAACCTTGTCTGTACTGCACGAGTTGTACTACTTACACGAAGCTTCTCTGCTTAAATTTTACCTTCAATCAAAACACAAAAACTACAAAATGACATACCTAAAGAACATATTTCCGAAATTGATTATTGTATATAGTTAAAAGTAATAACCTTTCGACTATATTTTCCATTTTTACAAAACACATATTTTTTAGTAAATTGGAAACATCGTGACATCATACCACAAAACGAGCCTATACGTTCAACGCTGGGCAACTACCAATACTTCGTGTTATACCAATGTTTGGAAAATATATACGAATCATTGCTGCAAATGCATGAGTTTGTGATAATTTAGCAAACGACACATGTACCCCGCACGAATTGACTTTATGTAAATTATACACTCAGTTAGTACTTACCATCTTCGGATGTTCTTGCGCTTTTCGTCAGCCCAGGTGGTCCAGCTCCCTTTGACGTAGCAGCTTTAATAGCGACAACGTAGGTGGTAAACTCGTTCAAGTTATTTAATACAGTGCTCCTGTTATTAACACCGTCAACTCGTTTTATATTCGAACAATTATTATTTGAAGATGTTGGAACTTTATAACATACAAAGTAGTGAGTTATATTTCCATTGGTATCCTCTGCAGGTACCTCTCCCCATGTAACGGCGATTGAAGTTGAACTGGTGACATTAATCTGTGTAATATTAGGTCCACTTTTAGGAACTTAAAAGAGAAAAGAAAAGTTATGATCCCTTATAGCAAAGTCAAAAGCCTCGTCATTTGTGTATACGGGCGAACTGCGTCAAAGATCTAGAAAACATGACTGTTTGCCAGGAGTGCGATAACCACTATTTCAATTTTCAATTGATGAAAATCGCCTTTCCGAAATTTCTTTTTGAGAAGTAAAAAGAATTGATAAACTAAGTGCGATCGCGAAATATAGGACAAGTTTGTTTTGAAGCAAGGTAAATATTTTATCAATGTTTTCGCTTTGACCTATCGCATCCAATATAAATTGATTTCAAATACTTACGATAGATGAACCAGGCGCAAATCGTAATCTTAAGATAAATATTAATGCCCAGCAGAAAATACGTAAAAGAGCCAGAACAAAAATAAAGTTTAAAAATTTGTTAGAAAGCTAACGTCTCGTCTTTGACTTTTGACATCTTCAGAGCAATGAGATACAAATCGGAAACCACAGCAATATGAATAAATTACAACTATTTACAAGATATTATATTACAAAAGTAGAAAGAGGAGTGATCAATCAGAGTGGAAGTAGAGGGACCGAACTGCCTTGTAAGTTGAGAAAGGGTTTGAGCTTGTTAATGAGAAGATTTTCTCGAATGAGAAGTTCGTCTAGAGAAGAGCAACAAGAAAAAATCTTACTGGTCACTCCGCTTCTCCTAATGACTTTAAGATTATTTTTTGTTGCTCTCCTCTAGACAAACTCCTCATTCGAGAAAGTCTTCTCATTAACAAACTCAAACCCTGTCTCAACTTACAAGGCAGTTTGGTCCCTCTACATCTACTCTAATCCACTCCTCTTTATACTTTGGTAATATAATTTCTTGTAAGTTGTTGTAATTTATTCATATTTCTGTGTTTTCCGCTTTGTATCTCATTGCTCTGAAGATGTTTTACGTTAAAGACGAAACGTTAGCTTTCTAATAAATATTTTAAATTTTATTTTTGTTATGGCTCTCTTACGTATTTTCTGCTGGGCATCAGTATCTATTTTAAGATAGCACTGATTTCGTTTTCAATTTTGCTGTGAAATAACGCGGTTCAGATTTAGAAAAAAACGGAACAAATTACTGAAATCAATCAATAACTTGAACTTATTTTCTTTTACTAAAATTATTCGAAATAGTTTAAAGACAGTAGCTTAGCCATGTAGCCGGACGATTTATTCCCGCTATATCCCAATCTTTTCGTGTATATTGATTGCGGAAAAAATCAATTTCAAAAGAAAAGAATAATGGTGTAATAACTTTGAATTTGCATATAGCGGGGCTAATTATCGGGCTGGCTATACGCAATTGTTTATAGGAAAAAGCAGTTTACTGAATTTTATTTACGAAGCGTTTCAGATTAAAGTTTACATTCAATCATATATAGCCGACAAAATACAAAATAACATGCCTACAGAATATATTTCTCCGATTGATTGTTGTATATAGTTGAAAGTACAGTTTTAATAATCAACTATTTTGCCATTCTTCCGAAAAGATATATATTTTCAAAAATTAAAAAAATATCGTGCCATCGTGCAACATAACAAGCTAGCCTACGCGTTTAGTGATCGGCGATTACTGATACTGCACGCATGTTAAATAAAAGTTTGGAAAATATATGCGAGGGCTTGCAGCATGCATACATATATGTCTGTGGTAGTCATGTATTAAACAATTTAACAACGGCGCCTGTGCGTAGCAGGGATTATGAATTATACACTCAGTTCGTACTGACCATCTTCGGATGTTCTTGCGATTTTCGTCAGCCCAGCTGGTCCAGCTCCCTTTGACGTAGCAGCTTTAACAGCGACAACGTAGGTGGTAAACACGTTCAAATTATTTAATACAGTGCTCCTGTTATTAACACCGTCAACTCGGGTCATATTCGAACAATTATTATTTGAAGTTGTGTGAACTTTATAACATACAAAGTAGTGAGTTATATTTCCATTGGTATCCTCTGCAGGTACCTCGCCCCATCTAACGGCGATTGAAGTTGAGCTGGTTGCATTAATATGTGTAATATTAGGTCCACTTTTAGGTACTTAAAAGAGAAGAGAAAAATTATGACCATTTTACATTTAAGGCTATGTTTAAAGTCTAATTGTCATGGGTATATGATTGGGCAAACTTCCCAGATCTCAAAAAATATGGCTGTTTTAGCCAGGAGTGGGATAAACACATTTCAATTTTCAATCGATGAAAATCGTTTCACACACGGAGCTTTCAAGCAATTTTCTTTTCGAGAAGTATATAAGAAGAATTGAGATAATAATTGCAATCGAGAATTATAAGACTAGTCATGCTTTGAATCTAAATGTTTGCGAATTTTGTTTCTTTCACCTTTCGCGTAAAATATGCGCTGCTTTCAATGTAGCTGTAAAATTACTCCGTTTAGTTTAAGAAAAAACGTAAGTAATTACTCAAATCAAAGAACAATTTGAGCTTGTCTTGTTTTATTAAGATAATTCAAAACAATTTGTCGCCAAAAGCACTTTACTATTATACGTCTTTATTAAAAATTGAAGTTGCAACAAACGTGCATCTTTACAGTGCATATAAGATATATATAAATATATATAGTAATTATTAAAACGTTCAGTGCATATGAGAAATGTTAATTAGATTATTTACAAATTTAGTATTATTTCTAAATTAAATTATTTACATGCATTATAGTTAATATTATATATCGTATATAACAAAATTTTAAAACTAAAAGTCGTTAAAAAGACACTTGTTCAAAACTGATTGTTTAAAACATTCTGTGTAAACTTTTGGTAACATAAGTTGATGATCGCGTTCTCTTAAAGGTCGTCGACGTTCTTCCGGTAACAACTCATATAGGCAATGTTCAGGATTGTGCATGACCTTATTGAACAATAATCGATCCCTCTCCTCAATCATCTTGGCCATTGAATATTTATTCTGAGTGTATCCATATCGGAAAGCACGATTGAGAAACTTGTTGAATTTATCAATGTATTTCGCTTGCAAAGCCGATCCCCATACTTCAATTGCATAGTAAAATAACGACAGAATCAATGAATCGAACAATTTAGTAAGTTCATTTAGCCGAAAGTTCAAAGCCGAGTCACCAGACGATGTGACAGGAACACTCACTGTTAAATCATCTGCAAACTCGACCAAATTGTTCCTTTGTGGATGTTTGGCTTCAATGTCGTTGACCATTAACGAAAATAAGAAGGGCCAAGAACTGTACCTTGAGGTACTCCTTTGTTGATATTAACAAAATTGGTAACAGTTCCATCTACAGTAACTATCTGTTTCCTACACGATATAAAATTAATGAGCCAATTGATAATATATGGATTAAGATTTGTTGATTTCAATTTCTGTGTTAAAATATCGTGGGGGACGCTATCAAACGCTTTACTGAAATCGAAGGATATTACCCGAATGAAGTTAGCCTTATCGTCTAACCATTTTAGCCAATGATGCTGGCACTTTATCAGAGCTGCAGTAGTGTTCGAGTTTTCCCTATAAGCATACTGGTTCTTATCAATATACAATTTTGAGGGATGACGAATCTCTTCTTGAAATATGATCCTTTCGAAGAGTCGCATAATAACATTAGTCAACGATATTGGACTCAATTGATCGCATTCGGTTAACGGAGATTCCTTAGGTAATGGGCTTAGATTCGCTAGCTTCCACATACTAGGTACACGCTGCTGTCTCATAGAAGAATTTAATACATTTGTCAGAACTGGTGCAAGATAGCAGGCAAAACCCCTCCAAACCCAATACGGAATAGCATCCGGACCAGGCGATGTTTGTTTTTGTCTCATCATAAAGTTTTCAACAGTTTTGATGTCAACAGTTGGAACTCGAGTTCCTTCAGGGATTGTCAATGGATCAGGTCTCACGTACTCATTATCAGTGTTTATACCTTGGAAGTAAGCATTCATAATTTCTGGATCGATAACATTACTAATATTTTCCGACCTAGATCCTCTACCAGTAATTTGATTAACGGTTTACCGCCATTTTCGAGAACCTACTGCACGAGTTGTACTACTTACACGAAGCTTCTCTGCTTAAATTTTACCTGCAATCAAAACACAAAAACTACAAAATGACATACCTAAAGAATATATTTCCGAAATTGATTGTTGTATATAGTTAAAAGTGATAACCTTTCCACTATATTTGCCATTTTACAAAAAAACATATCTTTCAGTAAATTGAAAACATCGTGACATCATAACACAAAACGAGCCTATACGTTCAATGCTGGGCAACTATACCAAGACTTCGTGTTATACCAATGTTTGGAAAATATATACGAAGGATTACTGCATATCCATGTGTTTGTGATAATTTAGCAAACGACACATGTACCCCGCACGAATTGTAAATTATACATTCAGTTAGTACTTACCATCTTCGGATGTTCTTCCGCTTTTCGTCAGCCCAGGTGGTCCAGCTCCCTTTGACGTAGCAGCTTTAATAGCGACAACGTAGGTGGTAAACTCGTTCAAGTTATTTAATACAATGCTCCTGTTATTAACACCGTCAACTCGTTTCATATTCGAACAATTATTATTTGAAGTTGTTTGAACTTTATAACATACAAAGTAGTGAGTTATATTTCCATTGGTATCCTCTGCAGGTACCTCGCCCCATGTAACGGCGATTGAAGTTGAGCTGGTTGCATTAATCTGTGTAATATTAGGTCCACTTTTAGGTACTTAAAAGAGAAGAGAAAAATAATGACTATTTTACATTTAAGGCTATGTTTAAAGTCTAATTGTCATGGGTATATGATTGGGCAAACTTCCCAGATCTCAAAAAATATGGCTGTTTTAGCCAGGAGTGGGATAAACACATTTCAATTATCAAGCGATGAAAACAGTTTCACACACGCAGCTTTCCAGCAATTTTCTTTTCCAAAAAGTATATTAGAAGATTTGAGATAATAATTGCAATCGAGAATCATAAGACAAGTCATGCTTTGAATCTAAATGTTTGCGAATTTTGTTTCTTTCACCTTTCCGGTAAAATATGCGCTGCTTTCCTTAATTTCAATGTAGCTGTAAAATTACTCCGTTTAGTTTAAGAAAAAACTTAAGTAATCACTCAAATCAAACCACAATTTGAGCTTATTTTATATTATTAAGATAATTCAAAACAATTTGTTGCCAAAAGCACTTTACTGCACGAGTTGTACTACTTACACGAAGCTTCTCTGCTTAAATTTTACCTTCAATCAAAACACAAAAACTACAAAATGACATACCTAAAGAACATATTTCCGAAATTGATTATTGCAGTGGCGAAGCTAGAGGTCGTGCTGGTCGTGCTGAGCACGAGTAAAAATTTTTCAAAGAAAATAATTTTATAGTCTTACAAAAAAATTCCCCCAAAATTTTAAAAATGATTCATCGTACACTTGCGTCATCTATTAAGTGCGAAATCCTTTCAAATACGGTGATTTTGCCATGATTTTAAACCAATTGAAGGTATGATTGCGTAGTTTCACCCGACTGCGGGTTAATAGCACGACTAATGGGTAATCCGCCCGTTAGTCGTGCTCTCGTCAGGCGAGCACGACTAAATTATAAATTCCAACGCATTCTATTGGCTAAATTGCTCCTCGCGCATGCGTATCTCGCCGAATTTTGTCTTCTGGTCGTGCTCATCTTCGAAAGCACGACCGAGTTAAATGCCGTAAATTATTCAGCAATTCTGTCGAGATTTATTCAAGTGATCTTGGTTATGTATCTATGGAAATTGACCAACGTCAATCGAGTGAATCATAGGAAGGCCATGTTGATTTGGATAGAATATTTCTGGCTTCTAACAAGATATTTTAGCTCACGAAATGCATGTGAACAGACTCGATTGTTTATTCTACTGTATATATAAATGGCGAATATAAACAAGATTTGTGAAGACCTTTCCTATTGATATATAAATATATTTACTACCAGTTCATTTGCTTTATTCATGAGTGCTTATATAATTGGAGGTTTACAGATATACCAAATATCTAAACAAAGTATCTTTCAAGTTTCAACATTAGGTTTCTGCTTCAGATTTACAAGGTCCTTGTAGACACTATACTATAGTATACTACAGTTGACCTTTCGCAATCCAACCCCTTACGCAATTCCAAATGAAAGATCGTATTACAGAAGGGTATTAAAATATACACATACAATATTCTCCTCTTTCTTCTGCCAATATTGGCTATATTGAGCGACATTTTCAGTTAAGTTGAACTATATATAGTGAAGCAAAATTAAATTTTGTGGAAATACAAATTTCAAAAACAAAAAGTATTAAGAATTTTCCTCTTTATATCACACTTTTTTGTTGCTCTCTTTGCATGAATTTCACCCTGAAATCGCAGGAAATGGCCATTCCAGACTTCGAAAATCAAAATGTTCCCGGGGGTGCATGCCCCTGGACCTAGCCTGTGCGAGTCTTAGAGCATGACTAGTCAAATACCCTCAGCTTCGCCACTGGATTATTGTATATAGTTAAAAGTAATAACCTTTCGACTATATTTGCCATTTTTACAAAAAAACATATTTTTTAGTAAATTGAAAACATCGTGACATCATACCACAAAACGAGCCTTTACGTTCAACGCTGGGCAACTACCAATACTTCGTGTTATACCAATGTTTGGAAAATATATACGAATGATTGCTGCAAATGCATGTGTTTGTGATAATTTAGCAAACGACACATGTACCCCGCACGAATTGACTTTATGTAAATTATACACTCAGTTCGTACTTACCATCTTCGCATGTTCTTGCGCTTTTCGTCAGCCCAGGTTGTCCAGCTCCCTTTGACGTAGCAGCTTTAACAGCGACAACGTAGGTGGTAAACTCGTTCAAATTATTTAATACAGTGCTCCTATTATTAACACCGTCAACTCGTTTCATATTCGAACAATTATTATTTGAAGTTGTTTGAACTTGATAACATACAAAGTAGTGAGTTATATTTCCATTGGTATCCTCTGCAGGTACCTCTCCCCATGTAACGGCGATTGAAGTTGAACTGGTGACATTAATCTGTGTAATATTAGGTCCACTTTTAGGAACTTAAAAGAGAAAACAAAAGTTACGATCCTTTATAGCAGAGTCAAAAGTCTCGTCCTTTGTGTATTCGGGCGAACTGCGTCAACGATCTAGAAAACATGACTGTTTGCCAGGAGTGCGATAACCACTATTTCGATCTTCAATTGATGAAAATCGCCTTTCCGAAATTTCTTTTCGAGAAATAAAAAGAATTGATAAACTAAGTGCAATCGCGAAATATAGGACAAGTTTGTTTTGAACGTAAATATTTTATCAATTTTTTTGCTTTCACCTATCGCACCCAACATAATCTGATTTCAAAATACTTACGATAGATGAACCAGGCGGAAATCGTAATCTTAAGATAAATATTAATGCCCAGCAGAAAATATGTAACAGAGCCAGAACAAAAATAAATTTTAAAAATTTGTTAGAAAGCTAACGTCTCGTCTTTAATTTTTGACATCTTCAGAGCAATGAGATACAAAGCGGAAACCATACCAATATGAATAAATTACAACTATTTACAAGATATTATATTACAAAAGTAGAAAGAAGAGTGGATCAGAGGAGAAGTAGAGGGACCGAATTGCCTTGTTAGTTGAGAGAGGGTTTGAGTTTGTTAATGAGAAGACTTTCTCGAATGAGAAGTTCGTCTAGAGAAGAGCAACAAGAAATAATCTTACTGGTCACTCCGCTTCTCTTAATGACTTTAAGATTATTTCTTGTTGCTCCACTCCAGACGAACTCCTCATTCGAGAAAGTCTAATTCTCATTAACAAACTCAACCCCTGTCTCAACTTACAAGGCAGTTTGGTTCCTCTACTTTTACTCTGATCCGCTCTTCTTTATACATTTGTAATATAATTTCTGGTAAATTGTTGTAATTTATTCATATTTCTGTGTTTTCCGCTTTATATCTCATTGCTCTGAAGATGTCTTAAGTTAACGACGAAACGTTAGCTATCTAATAAATATTTTCAATTTTATTTTTGTTATGGCTCTTTTACGTATTTTCTGCTGGGCATCAGTATCTATTTTAAGATAGCACTGATTTCGTTTTCAATTTTGCTGTAAAATAACCCGGTTCAGATTTAGAAAAAAAACGCGACAAATTACTGAAATCAATCAATAATTTGAACTTATTTTCTGTTACTAAAATAATTCGAAATAGTTTAAAGACAGTAGCTTAGCCATGTATAGCCCGACGATTTATTCCCGCTATATCCCAATGTTTTCGTGTATATTGATTGTGGAAAGAATCAATTTGAAAAGAAAAGAATAATGGTGTAATAACTTTGAATTTGAATATAGCGGGGCTAATTATCGGGCTGGCTATACGCAATTGTTTATAGGAAAAAGCAGTTTCCTGAATTTTATTTACGAAGCGTTTCAGATTAAAGTTTACATTCAATCATATATAGCCGACAAAATACAAAATAACATACCTACAGAATATATTTCTCCGATTGATTGTTGTATATAGTTGAAAGTACAGTTTTAATAATCAACTATTTTACCATTCTTACGAACAGATATATATTTTCAAAAATTAAAAAAATATCGTACCATCGTGCAACATAACAAGCTAGCCTACGCGTTTAGTGATCGGCGATTACTGATACTGCACGCATGTTAAATAAAAGTTTGGAAAATATATGCGAGGGCTTGCAGCATGCATACATATATGTCTGTGGTAGTCATGTATTAAACAATTTAACAACGGCGCCTGTGCGTAGCAGGGATTATGAATTATATACTCAGTCCGTACTGACCATCTTCGGATGTTCTTGCGCTTTTCGTCAGCCCAGGTGGTCCAGGTCCCTTTGACGTAGCAGCTTTAATAGCGACAATGTAGGTGGTAAACTCGTTCAAGTTATTTAATACAGTGCTCCTGTTATTAACACCGTCAACTCGTGTCATATTCGAACAATTATTATTTGAAGTTGTTTGAACTTTATAACATACAAAGTAGTGAGTTATATTTCCATTGGTATCCTCTGCAGGTACCTCGCCCCATGTAACGGCGATTGAAGTTGAGCTGGTTGCATTAATCTGTGTAATATTAGGTCCACTTTTAGGTACTTAAAAGAGAAGAGAAAAATAATGACTATTTTACATTTAAGGCTATGTTTAAAGTCTAATTGTCATGGGTATATGATTGGGCAAACTTCCCAGATCTCAAAAAATATGGCTGTTTTAGCCAGGAGTGGGATAAACACATTTCAATTATCAAGCGATGAAAACAGTTTCACACACGCAGCTTTCAAGCAATTTTCTTTTCCAAAAAGTATATTAGAAGATTTGAGATAATAATTGCAATCGAGAATCATAAGACAAGTCATGCTTTGAATCTAAATGTTTGCGAATTTTGTTTCTTTCACCTTTCCGGTAAAATATGCGCTGCTTTCCTTAATTTCAATGTAGCTGTAAAATTACTCCGTTTAGTTTAAGAAAAAACATAAGTAATCACTCAAATCAAACCACAATTTGAGCTTATTTTATATTATTAAGATAATTCAAAACAATTTGTTGCCAAAAGCACTTTACTGCACGAGTTGTACTACTTACACGAAGCTTCTCTGCTTAATTGTATCCCTTTATTAAGTCATTTTACAAAATTTCTTCAAAATTTTGGTTTAGTGTGTTTTATATATTTTAAGTATTGTACTTTCAGAATTTATAGTTATTTTTATGAAATTTTTATTTATTAAATGCGAAAAATGCTTTTAAAGTGGTCATGATCCATAATTTTCTCCCTAGCAACACCTTAGCAACGAGTTTTTATCCAAAATTCACATGAATTATTAAAAAAACCGAGTCTTTTGTGGTTTCTACTTTTGATGTATGCTTTTTAAGGTCCTTTTTGTTAGCTGCAATTTGATTGGTTCATTTTGCATGTACATGGCAACCAGTGCTCTCACTTTTAAGGAATTATCCTTAAAAATAGGAATTTTGAAGAGTTTTAGGGATTTTTTTAAGGAATTTAGGTTTTTGAGGATTTTTTTAAGGAATTTCCGAAACATTTTATCCTGGACTAAAAACGTTGGACGGAGGATAACCACGCCACGCAAATGAGATTTAAACTTGAAAGTAGCAACATTATACGCACATAATTACATTTAGTGTAATTACATAGGTGATTATTGAAAATTCTCCACGCTGATTGGTTGCCGTTGAGGTGATTATTACGCGATAATCACCTAAGCGATTTTCAAAATGGCGGCCGAAGCCTTTTTGTCAATTAAATGACAAAGAAATGTGTATTTTCTTATTTTTTTCCAAATAATCACCTATGAAATTATACTAAAACAATTATTCACCTCAGGCTCGGTGATTATCGTGAATAAAAACCTCGACTTCGTCTCGGTTTTTATTCACCGATAATCACCTCGCCTTCGGCGAATAATTGTTAAATATTCGTATGTTCTCTATGTCATAAATGTTCTTATGTTCCAGTACCAAATAACACAAATCACACTCATATAACGTAATTGTCATCATAATATAATAGTATATGTTTCTGTACATGGCTTAGCATCATGGCATGTGATTTATAACAAAACTTAAAACAGTGTTTTGAAACCCTAGTCTTTTACAAAATGTGTTCTCAGAACGCTGCAAATGCCATTTCCGGGATTCAAATTTTAAAATTTTTCCGTGCCTTCGGCACGAGCCCCCCCCCAAAAAAATTTTGTGTAAAGTGTCCGCCACTGGTCTTTTCATTAAAATTCTCAAAAGTTAAATGTCAGTATATGCTGTTTCTTCTGAAATCTACAGATTTTTTAAGCTCTTCATGCAGCAACGGTCAAAAATACATCATGTTGAATGTTTTCTTTATGGCATTACGCTAACAATCAAATGTTTTCAATTTTTAGTGCTTAGAAACAAGGTTATAAAACCTGAAAAACAGAAAAAAGGAGGAAAAAAACACTTTTTGCAACTGTGTGATCAGGCCTTCTGGTAATTTTACCAATTTAAGGAATTTTAAGGAAATCTGAGGAATTTTCGAGCTTTTTCTAAGGAATTCGAAAATTTGATTGTGAGAGCACTGATGGCAACCCCTTTTTTCATAGCAACTTCGCGGTCATTCGCAAAGCTCTGGCTGTAAACATAGCGTCGAAAATCTTAGTTATTTCTGATTATTTAGACGAAAATTACTGTTCTTTGTTGAATATTAGTATCGTTCTGTTATTTTGTTTGTGATTATCGATAAAAATATTGGAAATAATCGAAATAGAAAGAGAAAAAAGGCAAGAAATTCACCGTCAAAGAAGGCCACGAAATTCAAGATGGCGGCGAACCATGTTGATCAAAACCCTAAGCCATCTAAGATGAAAATAGACGATGTAAGTGTAAAGTTTGGCTACAATCCTGGTCATACTGACTATGTTAAAGCAGGTACTATATTTATGGACTTGTTAGTTCTGTTTGGCGTTTTTAATCAAGTCCTGAAATCATTGCCTTGAGTGTGGGAACAACATGACTTCCCATGTTGACTTGAAAAAGAAGAATAGCTTCTCGCATTACATTGTCATGCAATGTTATAACATGGAGTGTGAATGGAAATGCTGCTTCCATACTTCACAAAACCAAGGGGCCATCATATGAAGTTAATGTCCTTGGCCTCCAGCCTCCTGGCATTCAGAGAAATTGGTCGAGGCCATAATACTATGGTAACATTCACCAAAGTATGCCAAAGTCATGAACATGCCATCACGGAATCACCATAATCCAACTGGAACATTACAAAAATGCTAAACAAGCTGCTGCCTGTTGTGAAACAGTTGGCAAATGACAGCATGCTAAACAATACCATAATTGTTAAAGAGACTTGTGGAAATGACAAAGGCGAATGTGGAATTTCCCTTGATGGAACTTGGCAAAGACAAGACCATGTGTCGCACAATGGTGTTGTTTCCGCCATCATTAGATACCAAGAAATGCCTTAATGAACATGAAATACTGTCAGATAAATGTCAGAAATGGCAAAAGAAAGAAAACAACCCAAAATATCAAGAGTGGAAAGCTAGTTGCCACTGTAAGATCAACCATGCTGGACATGCCAATCGTATATGATGAATCACAAATTACATTCTCACCAAAAGAAAGCAGAGAAACAATTAAAAGTAGATGAAAAACACAATAGGGCATCTGAGAAAAAAGTATATAGATGAGGCTGAAGAGAAAGTAGGTGTTATGTATGAAGTAGGGGGCTTCTGAAGCTTTATAAGGTACATTAACTGTAAATGAAACTTTTAAAGTGGATTTTCTCTTTTTGGCAATTTGACGTGTGTCAGCAATACTTGGAACCATGTAATTTTCTAGGTTTTTATTATAGAAGCTTGATACTTTGCACATCTATAGTCTGTACCATTGTTCATTGTGTGACACTCTTCAAATTGCAACATTGTCCATTATTGATGAATTATTAACAAATTACATCATAAATATTTCAATTAAAAGTACCAATAATGCAAAATTCCATTTTTGGCTCTAAAATTTTTTATTAATGAATTCTGGAAAAAAATGAAGAGTGTCACATAATAGATGAGGTCCTAAGCTTTTAAAAAATATATCACTCATTAAATTTGGGTAATTGGTTAATGAGATATGAAGTTTGCGACGCTAGGCAATTATGGCCTAATTAAGAGCCGCCATATTGGATAATTAGTGTAATTAGTGACTTTGGTAATTTTTTTTTCCATAGTTCATTTTACTTGACCTAACCCTTTCAGAAAATGATATTTTCACTTTATTATCTTTAAAAATAAAAAAAAATGGTTTAAAGGGGTACAACCACCTTAAATTTTACCTTCAATCAAAACACAAAAACTACAAAATGACATACCTAAAGAACATATTTCCGAAATTGATTATTGTATATAGTTAAAAGTAATAACCTTTCGACTATATTTGCCATTTTTACAAAAAAACATATTTTTTAGTAAATTGAAAACATCGTGACATCATACCACAAAACGAGCCTATACGTTCAACGCTGGGCAACTACCAATACTTCGTGTTATGCCAATGTTTGGAAAATATATACGAATGATTGTTGCAAATGCATGTGTTTGTGATAATTTAGCAAACGACACATGTACCCCGCACGAATTGACTTTATGTAAATCATACACTCAGTAAGTACTTACCATCTTCGGATGTTCTTGCGCTTTTCGTCAGCCCAGGTGGTCCAGCTCCCTTTGACGTAGCAGCTTTAATAGCGACAACGTAGGTGGTAAACTCGTTCAAATTATTTAATACAATGCTCCTGTTATTAACACCGTCAACTCGTTTTATATTCGAACAATTATTATTTGAAGTTGTTTGAACTTGATAACATACAAAGTAGTGAGTTATATTTCCATTGGTATCCTCTGCAGGTACCTCGCCCCATGTAACGGCGATTGAAGTTGAGCTGGTTGCATTAATCTGTGTGATATTAGGTCCACTTTTAGGTACTTAAAAGAGAAGAGAAAAATTATGACCATTTTACATTGAAGGCTATGTTTAAAGTCTAATTGTCATGGGTATATGATTGGGCAAATATCCCAGATCTCAAAAAATATGGCTGTTTTAGCCAGGAGGGGGATAAACATATTTCAATTTTCAATCGATGAAAATCGTTTCACACATGGACCTTTCAAGCAATTTTCTTTTCGAGAAGTATATAAGAAGAACTGAGATAATAATTGCAATCGAGAATTATAAGAAGTATAAGACAAGTCATGCATGCTTTGAATCTAAATGTTTGCGAATTTTGTTTCTTTCACCTTTCGCGTAAAAGATGCGCTGCTTTCCTTTTCAATGTAGCTGTAAAATTACTCCGTTTAGTTTAAGAAAAAACGTAAGTAATTACTCAAATCAAACAACAATTTGAGCTTATTTTATTTTATTAAGATAACTCAAAAGAATTTGTCACCAAAAGCACTTTACTGCACGAGTTGTACTACTTACACGAAGCTTCTCTGCTTAATTTTTACCTTCAATCAAAACATAAAAACTACAAAATGACATACCTAAAGAACATATTTCCGAAATTGATTTTTGTATATAGTTAAAAGTAATAACCTTTCGACTATATTTGCCATTTTTACAAAAAAAATATTATTAAATTGAAAACATCGTGACATCATACCACAAAACGAGCCTATATACGTTCATTGATGGGCAACTACCAATACTTCGTGTTATACCAATGTTTGGAAAATATATACGAAGGATTGCTGCATATGCATGTGTTTGTGATAATTTAGCAAACGACACATGTACCCCGCACGAATTGTAAATGATACACTCAGTTAGTACTGACCATCTTCGGATGTTCTTGCGATTTTCGTTAGCCCAGGTGGTCCAGCTCCCTTTGACGTAGCAGCTTTAATAGCGACAACGTAGGTGGTAAACTCGTTCAAGTTATTTAATACAGTGCTCCTGTTATTAACACCGTCAACTCGTTTCATATTCGAACAATTATTATTTGAAGTTGCTTGAACTTTATAACAAAGAAAGTAGTGAGTTATATTTCCATTGGTATCCTCTGCAGGTACCTCTCCCCATGTAACGGCGATTGAAGTTGAGCTGGTTGCATTAATCTGTGTGATATTAGGTCCACTTTTAGGTACTTAAAAGAGAAGAAAAAATTATGACCATTTTACATTTAAGGCTATGTTTAAAGTCTTGTCATGGGTACATATATGATTGAGCAAACTTCGCATGCAGATCTCAAAAAATATGGCTGTTTTAGCCAGGAGTTGGAATTCAGGGGCGGATTCAGACCGTTGCAACCGTAGCATATGCTACGGTCAGATTTTCCCAAGATATATTTTTCCAGGTTGTACCTTTTTTAAAGTTATTAAAAACTAAAACGTTATACTATTTTTAATTGCCGTTATTTTTTACTAAATCATATTGATACAATTTTATCGAGTTTTTATTTCATTTTGGATAATTAAATTCGGGTTTTTCTCAAATTTCCGCCCGAAATACTGCCTGTATTTGCGGGTTTTGCACTAGTACTATAACACATCGTTCTGAAGTCGTAGCATTTGCTTCATTGTGATTGGCTTGCTTCGTCTAACCGAAGCAAACCAATCATAGCGCTGTATTTGGAAATTTTTGCAGTGGTCAGATTGAAACTGACCGTTGCAAAAATTCGCAAATACGGCGTGCTGATTGGTTTGCTACGGTCAGACGAAGCAAGCCAATCAGAATGAGGCAAAATGCTACTGTTTGCAACAGTCGCATCGACTTCAGAGCGATGCTGGCTTGTTATTGTCGTGTCGGCTCCACGAACTTCTGTGTATAATGAACGAATGTAAACGTGTTTCATTTAACGAAAAGGTGCGCGAAAGAATTCTTATCGAAAGCTTTTGGTGTGCGATTATTGGCATAATTTGCATTTCCCGCGATGTTAACTGTGAAGACAGCGCTGTTTGAATCACCTCCGTGTCAGGTCAGTCTCATGAATAGTATATTAAATATGTAAATAACATATCGAATTTTACACAGTTCATGCGTCTCGAACATATTACCATATATTTGCTGATGAACACAGTAATTTCAAAAGGGCCATTTTGGCCCCTAAAATGGGGCCAAAATTTTGACCCTGAGATGGCCCCATTTTAATGGGGCCGTTTTGGCCCCCATTAAAATAGGGCCATTTTGGCTACTTATTAAAGGGCGATTTTGGCTATTATGTGGGGCCATTTTGGTTCTTTCAAAGGGCTGTTTTCAATCTTATAATTACAATAATAGCAATTTCAGCTCTCAAAGAAGGGCCAATTTAGCTCTACGTGGGGCTGTTTTGGCTCTCGAAAGGGGCTGTTTTGGCTCTTTCAAAAGGGGCTGTTTTGGCTCTTTCAAAAGGGGCAGTTTTGGTGGTTTCAAAAGGGGCCGTTTTGGCTCTTTCAAAAGGGGCTGTTTCGGCTCTTTAAAAGGGGCTGTTTAGCTATTTCAAAAGGGGATGTTTTGATTCTGAGGACAGCACCATTTTATCGTTGCTCACTAGACATATTCAAATAATCACACAATGCAAGTTTAAAAAGATGTATTTACATGAAGTTTACATTATATTAAAATATTTACAAGATGCTGGACACTTTGGTGTGACAATACCCAACACTACAAAAAATTATGTGTAAAATTTGCATGCACAGCAACACATTTACTATCTATATGAATATCATAATGTCTTATTGTTTTACTTGCCAGTGCTGTCACATAATGGGTTAAACAAGTAAACTGAGGTAAAACCATGAATGTTTTCTGGAATCAGGAATGAGCCAATACCATATTAGATCACAAATACTGTACAGTACCGACAACATCACCTTTGCATTTTAGTGAGCATCTACCATGTTCAAAGATTCTTTATCGCGTTGTAAACTCCATCCTACATAATGAATAATTACAGATAGATTATTTAATTAATATTTGTTTTCATAGGAAAAATTTGATTCACTATGACTATGGCTCCAACCTTAGACCAAATTATAGCTAGTAACATGCTAACCCAGAAATAGTCGTGAAAAATTCACTGATATTCCGATAATCGATACTGAAAGACTGATATTTTTCAGATACTGACACCGATATTCCATGTCATTACACAAAATTCAAAGATGACATCAAATTGCTGATAATTTCAATTTAGTTGGTGCATCACTACCCAGAAATCATGGTCACACAGGAAAATGTTAACCCATGAAGTTGCATTGCACTCTTACTTTATTGTATTCCTGTCTAATGTCAATTGCCAGACATATTTGTGAGTGGGAGTGCTGGTGATTAATGGGTTAATGTGCCTACATCCCTATTTTATTGTCTTTAATCCATTAAGTACCAGTGTTCTCCCCTTGCAGGGGTTTCAGAATGATTTGAAGTACGCGGCTGTACCAAAAAAGTAGCCGGCTGTGACTGATAGTTAAAAAATCGCGCGGGGAGGGGGGCGTGCCCTCGCATGGAAATTTAAAAAATTTTCGCCGCAAATTAACAATCAAATAATATAGAAAAAGTAAAAAGATAAAGTACAACTGTTAACATGTTAGATTTGAATGTCATTCGCATTTATACTTGTAAGTGACAATGCAATTTAATGTGCTACTAGTAGTTTAATTTTTACAGCTGCATGAACAGAATGACAATGTACACTATTAGTATTAATTTATGAGTCCGAAACCATTAATCAAATGATGTTATACTTATGTACGTAATGCAGTGTTGTAACTCTCTCCTCCGCAGAGGCTTTTAAAGAATATGAAATTCGAAGGAATTGTAATTGCGCTAGAAGGTACAGTGTATCTGGTATGAAGCCAACCGCTGAAAATCGGCGCGCGGGCGAGGGGAAGGAAAAAATAGCGGAAGCCTCTGCCCGATTTATGTCCCAATATGGCGTTAAACCGGGGAGGAGAGAGACTCGTGCAGATTCTCGAGCAGTTTGGCAAAATGGCTCAGTTGCGTATGAATTATTCATGTCCACGAAGGAAATTTATTTTGGCTTTGCGGAGCAGGAAAACGTGTTGTGCTGTCTGTGGTTCACAAAAAACAGATATATTTAGTCAAGTAGGCCTTCAACAACATTACCGAATTACACACAAAGGCACAGAATTTTTGAAAGAGCATCACAAAATTAGTAATATTCCAAAGTTTCGTTGCGAAATGTTGTAAAATGCGGATAATATAGCCATGCGAAGTTTGCAATTTTCAGTCATTTTAGATTACAAATGGGAAATGGTTACCACTTCTCTGCGTAATCTAAAATGACTGAAAATTACAAACTTCGCAAGGTTATATTATCCGCACTTTACAACATTTTGCAACGCAACTTTGGAATATTACTAATTTTGTGATGCTCTTTCAAGCTATGATGAAATTTTTGTTTAGGCTAGTTAAGATCAAAATTTTGGAAAAGTGGTAACCATTTCCCGTTTGTAATCTAAAATGACTGAAAATTGCAAATTTCGCAAGGCTATATTATCCGCATTTTACAACATTTCGCAACGAAACTTTGGAATATTACTAATTTTGTGATGCTCTTTCAAGCTATGATGGAATTTTGTCTAGACTTGTTGAAATCAAAATTTTGATTAATTGGGGAATGGTCCATTGAATGGATACTATATGTATTTTTTATTTTTATTGCATGCTTATAGTTTCATAGTTCCGTGCGTTGTTTGTGAAAAGCAGAACACTGAAATGTTGTTTTGTGAATTGTGTTGTAGGTATTCACAATTGTTTATTAGTATTGACAAAACGCGCTAATATCGATTTGTTGTTAATTTGCTATTTTGAGCCTTTTGTCATTGATTCTATTTTGACACAATTTGCCAAAGGCAAAGAATACAGGATGCAGATTTGACACAATTGTATGCAGCCCTAAAAATTGACGGCAAAAATGTAAACTGAACTCAAATTAGTAAAAACAAAGATAAAGGTAGATGTTTTGAATTGTTTTCATCTATATATTACTAATTATTAAAATAATGTATTTTCGGAATATTATAAGACCCGTATAAGAATATTGCAATATTTACATTAATCGTTACTATTACTGTATATTTAATATAAGACTATTCACATTTAACAACCTGATGCACGTCCCCCACGTTCTACTACAATTGGTAAAACTTTTTTACATGATTAATGTATCTTTTGCATTTTTCAACAGTCATTGCTTGAGCCCAAAATTGGGTAATGCCGTCAACTAAAGCTTCCTTCGTTCTTGGTTTGACAATTGTTCTTAGATGATGCTTAAGTTCATGCCACACAAGTTCGATGGGGTTGAGGTCTGGACTCTCTGGCGGTGTTTTCCACCAATTTACCGCTTCTTCCTCGAAGAAGGATTTCGCTAGGTTGCTCGTATGCTTCGGATCGTTGTCTTGTTGAAAACGATGGCCGTTTGGGAAATGCGTTGAGATGAATGGAAGCAAAGTTTTTCTCAAAATCGTTTCTACAAAAAATACTGCATTCATGCATCCAGTGAAAATGGTTATCCCGGTTGCTCCACGCTTCGAAATGCCAGCCCAAACGTGGACTTTATATGGATGCTTTGGTACTCCTTTTTGTCTCGGTGGTTCCCACCAACGATGAAAAGTTATTTTTCCATGCCACTCCATTTGGATTGAACTTTCGTCTGTAAAAATGACGTCGTCAAAATTATCTTTGTTATTCAAACATCTTTGAGCGAATTCTAGTCGCTTGGGTTGATTAACTTCTTTCACGAGTTGGCAATATTTTGACCACGTGGCCAACCAGCTTAACTTCCTTCGTAATCTCTTAATTTTCGAGCACGAAAACTTCCAGCCAAAGTTCGTTTCGATCAATTGTTGAAGTCTTGGGGATGTTAACTCGTCGTTGCTTTCCATTTGCGCATCAATAAAATTCAAAACGTCCATTGGAATGCTTTTCTTTCGCCGCGGTGCTGCCGTCGACAGCGTCTGGTTTTGTTTGAACCGCTGGAGAAACTTCCACAATCCAACTCTTGAAATTTCTACCCCTTCACTTTCTAAAATTCGCAATATTTGAGATGGTTTATAGCCTTCTTCCTTCAATTTTATTATCCGCTCTTTGCTGTGGTGGTTTAACCTTCCCATTTTGTCGTGCACAGCTTCAAGTTTAACTTACATATAAACAAATTTCTACATATATTATTATCTCCCAAGCGACGCGTTTCCCTTCCCACGCTACGAGATTCTCGTCCCGCGAAATTACCCATCCCGCGGGATAGATTTTCCCTCCCGAGAGATAGATTTTTCGTCCCGCGGGACGGGTATCCCGTCCCTCGGGTAAAATATCCCGTCCCACGGATTCCCGTACGGGACTGTTAACTTTCCCGTGATCGGTATACTGTATATCAGTCACAATCCAAATTAAAGTTCATATTACCAGTACAGGTGATTTGAAACCAATAGAATCTTTGCTGAATGGCACTTTGACACAGTCGAAGAAAAACACATCACTATATTGTAGCGCACAAAATCTACAAAGGTTTTGGTGTGCAACTGTCCTTCGTTAAACATTAATGGCTAGCACGTTCCCTTGAAAGATACTTATTTTGCATTAGAGATTATTATAAAGAGTGCACTGTACCTTTTATGGGTTTATGAGAAAGTATCAAAACAACTTATAGAACAAACACAGTCTAATTTTTTGTTGGTGACATGTCAGAGTAAATATTTTAGATTTGGGTAGAAAGTCTGGCTAAACTATCAACAAGTGACACTTTTTAAGGCAAGTCGAGTGGTTTAGGGCATAGTATGATTTAACAAGGCGCATTGGCAGAGAGACCGTTTAAAACCAATTAACCAGAGGAGTAAACTTTTCTGGGATTAACATTTTTAGTCACAGTAAATAATAAACATAGTACATGTACTGTATATTTGGGCAGTTTAAGTTTAATTCACTGTGAAGTTCTTTTGTATCATTTCAAATCAATATATTATAAAAAGCATCGCTTTATAAACAGTTTATATCTTAATTGTGTAAACGTTCTCTGGTTAAAAGATTTATTTATTACAAGCTTTCGACTGCCAGTCTGCAGTCTTCGACGGGTCTCCGTCTGCAGACTGGCAGTCGAACGCTTGTAATAAATAAATCTTTTTAACCAGAGAATCCTGGTTTCGCTTCCAACATTTTTAAAGTTTATATCTTATTTTATATATCCTACATATATTTTATAATCACTCTATATCCAGTATTTGGCCGGATAATCTGGTAGGATATTTTTCATCCGTTCGGCATATATGGTATTCGGCTGGATAGTAAAATGTTCTATCAGGTGCATCTCTAATGCATAATAATTTCATTCTCATGGTAGCGGCAGGGAAATAATTAACACACATCTCTAAAGTTGCAATGATATACAATATGAAGTAACTGAAGCAAATTTAAATTCAACCAGTTCTAGCTTGCTGCACATATGCCTCAGGGTCTGTTATACAATGCCAGCTTTTCCCTTTCAGAACATGCCCTCCTGTGCCAATTTGTCTACAGTCCAAGTAAAATTTGTAGATAATCCTAACTAATTACCCAAAAACCTCATTAGCCTAAGTCAATATTTTTATTAAAGTTATACACTTGTCTTTTTTAAACTTTTTTCTCAGTCACAATGACGGCTACCTTTAGGAAATACCTGGTTGCCAGATAAAACAATTGGTCACAATTGTTCACCTGGCATTTGGTCATTTCTAGGGCTGCACCAGATAGACATTTTTGCCATCCAGCCAGATTTCAGCTATGTCGGATAGTTGAAAGAAAGATATCCGCATTATCCGGCTGAATACTGGATACTGTTGATATAAAGGTTTACACTTTCATTTAAGATAAATAATTAGTTTAATTGAAAATAAAATGAGGGTGTTTATAATACTTTGACTTGAAAAGATACTTGAAATCATAGGAAATAACTTCATTCTAAACATGGGTATTGCCAAAGCCTTGCCCACAAAGTTCAAAGGTCAAATCCAGTATCTGCCAATATACTGGATAGTAAGATTATCTCACTATCTGCCTATAGAGGGAGGGCGAAATTGCCCTGGGCCCCAACCTTAATAGGGCCCCAACTTGAGAGCCTAAAATTGAGTAGGTCCTTTAAATTGATGAGAGCATTTTTGAAATTGAGGGCCGCTTGTAAACAGTAGCTCCACATGCAGTCTAGCTAAGGTCTAGTCATGGAGCCCCCAGAGAAGATTTGCCCTGCAAATTCTCTCGGCAGCCCTGAGCCTGGATATGATATCCGGTATATAGTCATTTCAAACCTTTGTCCAAGCACAGGTAAATTCACTCAGTAAGAATGTCATTTTATCTGTTCCGTACGGTGGTACATTTTCAGAGGGCAATGTAAACATCTCTTATATAGCAATAAAGACAGGTGCTTTGAGCTGACCTGCCTGAAAAGTCTCAAGTAAACATGGATGAAATTCTACTTGGTTGTTGGTACAACACTATGTACAATGAACTCTGGTATCTGGGCTACCTCGGTTCCATATAAACACACAACTAGGGGTGCACCGGATTTGGAATTTTCAAATCCGGCCAGAACCGGATTTACCGGATTTGGACAAAAATTCTGGCCAGATTTGAGATAAACAGTTAATGGGGACAATTGGGGACAAATCAGTATTCAAAATGGCGGTTTATGTTTTTTTACTATTTTTAGTTAGTGTCAGTTTAGATTTTTGATTGTGTTTAAACCTTTTTTAAATATTTTTTTTGTTTATAACTTAATATTTTATAATAATATAAGTGTTTTTTAAACTTTAAAGCTGCCAAATTGATGGTTTATCCCATTCTTGGTGAATTTTTTAAGCCAAAAACAGAAATTTAAATCCGGCCGGATTTTCTCCAAATCTGGCTGTATGCTGGAAAATTCATTAAATCCGGCCGGAATTCCGGCCTGATTTGGAATCCGGTGCACCCCTACACACAACTTGACCAGGGCTGTAGCTAGACCGATAATTGGAGGGGGGTATATTCATATATTCGTGCTCTGCCCAGACGGATTTCTTTTGAAAGCGATTGTTTTTACGGTATGTGAACATGACTTTATTTATATGAATATACACCACCCAAATTATCGCGTCTAGCTACAGCCCTGAACTTGATTCATAAGTCATAAACATTTACTAATTATGGCATTATGCCATATTAGTGTCTGCATGGTACTTAGCATATTGGGATATTTCTTCAGGGCAATCAGGGGATCATAAATATATATAATTTTTGAGCTTGGAATTCCTCAGAGGTATAACTATGAGAAACATGATGTTTGTGATGTTACTCTGAGTGTATATCCACACCGAGCAAGCTTGAAAATATGCCTGGCCACGGTGGGAATCGAACCTACAACCTTTGGAATACTAGCCCAATGTAGGTACCAACACAGAAAAAATTATGAAAAACATATATCCTGGATGACTTTCTGTATTGGTGTAATGTACTCAGGTGAATATGATGCTTGTGATGTTGCTCTGAGTGTATATCCACACCGGGCAAGCTTGAAAAATATGCCTGGCCACGGTGGGAAGCGAACCTACGACCTTAATTGGAATACTAGCCCAATGCTCTGCCAACTGAGCTACGTGGTCAGGATATACACTCAGAGAAACATCACAAGCATCATATTCACCTGAGTACATTACACCAACACAGAAAGAGTCATGATCACTAGATTACATTGATATTGAAGGAACTAGATTCTGTTCCGAAATATCACATACCGGTACTCGAACCGACCTGACCGCGTAGCTCAGTTGGCAGAGCATTGGGTCGTTCCAGAAAAGATCCATACCCCCCCCCCCACGGAGGAAATTTTTGCTGTCCGAAGGGGGGGAGAGGAAAAATGTCTTAGGGGGAGGATATGTTTGTCTGAAGGTTTGAGACTGTGATAAAGCTATGTGATCGGCAATTATAATGAGCACGCAATTTTTATCGGCTATATGTAGTTCTTGAACACCGGAACGTTTATGTAACAGCAAAAGTTACATCCACGTAACTCGTAAGCAAAATAAGCGGCCCACTTTTGCATGCATGGCCACAAAAAACTAACTCGCTGTAACAGCGTATCCTGCATGTTGAGAATGAGTCGAAAATTGACAAGCTTTATTTATATAAAAGTAAAGTTTTGCAGTTTTCGTTCGTATATATAAGTTTGAATTATTCAAGTGTTAAAAATAATAGTTATTAAACTGTTGCTCGAATTAAGAGACTGCTATGTGAACTGAACTCAAAACAATTTGTTTTAGAGTATATAGTCAGTAAAGCTTCCTTGCGAGGTGCGTGTCTAGAAAATAGAAATGGCTTTCATATTAAGGGCGAGGTTAAGGAATGCAGTAATACTAAAAATAATGCATGCAGTAATAATTAACATGTAGCAACGCTTGTCAATCAGTCGCAAGTTACATCGAATTTCAGTCCGAATTTTACTTGAACAAATTTCGAAGTGAATTTCTACAAATTATCCGACAAAACCTGCCACGTGTTTGTGTTCGCAAGTCACAAGAAGCCGCCAAGTGTTCCGCCACGCCGGAGCTATTTGAAAACAGCGTAGAAAAGTCACAATAAGCCATCGCTAATTCACTCTACGCTGGAGCGAAATCATTTGAAAACTTTCATGTCACTTTTGCCGTAACAATTTGAGCACGGAGCGAGGTGAAAACGGCGGAGCGCTTGATAGCTTCGTGTGAACACAAACATGTAAACTCGAATGCTTTTCAGTTAAATTTCTTGGGTCTATTTGAAATATTTTGGGTTTACACAAGTGCTAATTAAATTTGTAAACAAACTGTAATGGCGGTAGTGTGAACACACGTAAATTCTGCCCGCATTACTGTAGTTAGCTCGCGCGTAGTGTGAACGCAGTCTAATTTTCGGTGACGTTTTTAAACGGCGAGGTAGCCTTTAGAAAAATTTAGAAATAGTGGATGTCCGAAGGAGAGGGAGGTAATTTTGGGCTTTGATGTCCGGAGAGGGGGGGAGGATGAACCATTCAAGGATGTCCGAAGGGGGGGAGGGGGTTATTTTCGATTTCCTCCGTAGGGGGGGGGAGGTGTGGATCTTTTCTGGAATGACCCATTGGGCTAGTATTCCAAAGGTC